GTAATACAAACGTTCAGACCATAGCAAGCAGTTCAGATTAAAGAGTTGGAACACAACAAACAGGTGTCTAAGCAACAAGTCAAGGAAGTCCACAGCCATATTTGCACAGAATGAGAAGAGGAGATGGTCATGTGCTGATCCTTCCAGTCACAAGCACCACATACTGGAAACAACATCAATGAAAAGAAAGAGGTGCTAACACAAAGATACACAATAAGTTAGTGCAGTTTCTATGTAAATATTTGTAGTGTGGAAGAACAAGTTTTGTCTTGGATTGTTGTTGTTGTTGTTTTTGCTATAGACAAAGAATTTGTTTTTAACAATCAAATAAGGTCCTGGTGGCATTTCTTTTGTTCATTTCCTGATTAGGTAATTTTAATAGTATAAATGATATAAGAAAGGACAATTTACAATAATTTACCTATTCACAGGTGTCGGTTTTCACTAGATAATAATAGCGTAATTACTTTTTGTTACCGTTTGTAAATTCCTTCTAACTGCCAGGAGATGGGAGCACAAAAATGAATAAATAATGTGTCAAGGAGTCAAGTATTAAAACCTATGGTCCACTCTGAATTATGTGTTGGGGGTGTGGGGACAGGGAATAAAGGGAACTGGGAAGTTTCAGAGAAAAGACAAATTTGGAGATAATCCTTGAAGGTTGATAAGAAGGTCCCAGTCAGATAAAAATGGGGTAGACATACGAAGATTTCACGACAGATGGAACACTGCGCTCACAAGCTTTCTAGTGAAGGGCATGGGGGCAAGGGTCAGAGTGGCAAGAGATGAAAAATAAGGCTAGAGGAGTAGACTCAGTAAAGGTTGTGAAAGATCAGGTATGTTTTGCTAAGAATTCGCTTTTATTCTTCTGCAGGTAATGGAGAATCATATTTCTGTCATCAGCGTGGAAGTCAAATTAGAAAAGAAACCTATGACAGGGAGCTACTTTAAAAAGCTAATGTATTAGTTCATAACAAATGATGTCTAAACTACAAGATAGTTATAGGGATGGAGAACAGTACCAGGATATGAGAGATACAGTAGGAAGTAGAATTGTCAGCAATGGGATGTAAGAAAGAAACCAAAATAAAACTTGAACTCAGGTCTGTAGAGCTTAACGACTTGGGCTTTTAAGATTATGCCATATTCTATAATATGTCATTTATATTGGTTGCCTTGACCATCAGAGTTTTGCAAATTAGGTACTCATGTGCTATTATCCCCAGTATTACCAATGACAAAAGAGATTCAGGAAGGTAAAATAATGTTCTTGAGTTCACCTAGTTAACACGTGGCAGGGCTGAGATTCAAATCCTTAGATACAAATCACTCTCTTGCTACTCTTCCCAAGCCTCCAATGTCATCACCTGTAAATGTAGATTAGAAGAACACACACCTGAAAGGGATACTGTGAAAATTGAATGAGATTATGTTTGGAAGGCACTTAGTCCAGTAGCTGGCTAAATGTTACCTATTAATCTTGTGATAGTATAGTAATCATATACAAGGGAGGAGCACATGAGGTTGGGAAATGGGATGGGAACTGTAGGAAAGTGATGGACTCAAGTCGGCCGTCATGTGAGCTGCAGGGAGCACAAAAAGGGTTAGAGAAGGACCTTGAGAGTTTGGGACAGTCTTTAAATGGAAAAAGAAAAGCAGAGGTCTAAGAATCCAACACTGTAGGTCACATATTAAAATTATTATTATGCAATAGTCATCCTCAAGAAAAAAAAAACAAACATCTGCTAGGCAGCTATTTGAGCTTCACAGTGATATTCTGGGATATTTAAATTTTATCACTGCTATATAAAAAAATAAGACAACTGTTGCACAATGTTTTTAAATTAAAGTCATCTCACCACTCAACTAACATTTTCAAAGAAATCTTATTTTTGTCAGATGTCAGAGGAACAAACAGTTATCTTTCATCCTTTCATGTCCTCAATAAATATTATGTGCTCTCTAAGGGAATTATATTGTGTTAGGTCAATAGGCTATAAACCAATCAGACCTGCAGATAATTTTCAAAATAAGGTCAAAATTTAATGAAAAGAGGGGCGCCTGGGTGGTTCAGTCGGTTAAGCATCTGCCTTCAGCTCAGGTCATGATCCTGGGGTCCTGGGATGGAGTTCTTGCATAGGGCTCCCTGCTCTTCTGGGAGCCTGCTTCTCCCTCTGCCTCTGCCTCTCTCTCTCTCTCTATGTCTGTCATAAATATATAAAGAAAATCTTTAAAAAATTTAATGAAAAGAGAAATACTTATTAAAAAGAAAAAAACCCCTACTCAGGTTAAAAGGTTATGGACAAACTGACATACTCAATTTTAGGTTATAATATCTAGGAAGATTTCAATTAAATAAATTTATGCTAAATGCTGCAGACTTAAACAAAAGTTTCAAGTTAAATTGACATAATCTCTAACTATATGAGACAATTATTGTATTTCGTTCATTATTTAGTAACATTAATTAGTGATAGCTAAGGTATGACTAATTGATAGAATTGTCAGTTTTCCTCCAAAGTAAAAAATAACAAGAATATAAGAGATGTAGTAACATGCATCATAACTTATCTTCAGAACTTTCAATATTTTTCTTTTTTGCTATCAATTCGTTTGACAAGGTAAGATTTAAGAAAAAAAGCAATTTAGACATCATCTTCATAAAAGCTGGTTACTAATTTAGCTAATTTAAAATTAGTTCTGGACAGTGCCTGGGTGGCTCAGTCAGTTAAACATCTGCTCTCAATTCCGGTCATGATCCCAGGGTCCTGGGATCAAGTCCCACATTGGGCTCCCTGCTTAGCGGGGAGTCTGCTTCTCCCTGTCCCTCTGACCTTCCTCCCCACTCATGGTCTCAATCTCTCTCAAATAGATGAATAAAATCTCTAAAAAAAAATTAGTTCTGGAAATTAATTGATTGCTAATGGATTTGATATTCTGTAGGAAGAGCCTGAATAGTTTCATAATTACAAATAAAATTAATTTTAAGATTTTTATTGTGGATTTCAACATAATACAATAGCCTGAGTATTTTACTTATTTATTTTTTATTTACTTATTTTTTTGCTGAGCATTTTATTTTATTTTTTTATTTTGTTAAAGATTTATTTAATTATTTGAGGGGGAGGGGCAGAGGGTGAGGGAGAGAATCTCAAGCAGACTTGGGGGTGGGGGGCTGCATCTCACCACCCTGAGACCATGACCTGAGCCGAAACCAAGAGTGGGACTCTCAATAGACTGAGCCACCGAGGCGCCCCTAACCTGAGCATTTTAAATGAAGAATTTGAATAGTCTATAAATTTGCAACAAAACTAAACTAAAAAAAAAAGAAAAAATGGCACTTGAGCATGGACTTTGATAATGAAAATATCCTAAATTTTAATTAGATTTGAAACCAGAAGTAGTTGATTTTTGAAAATCATTGTCTTTGAGTGAGGCACTAACATGTGTTTTTTTAATTTCAAAAATCTACTTATTTCTCATTCTATATTATTAATTCCTATGTTGATGCAATGTTAATTGTTACCAGGAAATAGTCTATTTTCTTCCAAATGCTTAAAGGAAATGTTTGCTTTTAGTTTATTGTATGTCAGATGTCTTTTACAATTATGCTTAGCCACTTCCTCTTGGAATTTAATTCTTTGCAAGCTTAAAAAAAATTAAACAGAAATATCTGTTATTAACTAAAATAAATTTCACAGTTTGTACACTATGTATTTGCTCCACGGTAAAGGAAATTAGATGGAATTTTTTTTTAAGATTTTATTTATTTATTTGAGAGAGAGAGAGAGCGCGCACAAGCAGGGGGAGCAGCATGCAGGGGCAGAGGGAGGAGCAGGCTCCCCGATAAGCAGGGAGCCTGAGGTAGGGCTTGATCCCAAGACTCTGGGATCGTGACCTCAGCTGAAGGCAGATGCTGAGCCACCCAGGCGCCCCAACTTAGATGAATTTTTAAGTTAAAATTAAATAGCATAATGTATATACTTACGCTTCAAATTTTATGTTAAAACAGTGGGTGTCACTGTCAATATTTTAAGTAAAACATATTTCAGAAAATAATTTTTAAAAATTTTCACCCCATACACTTGGAGGGTTTTTGATAGGCATTGAGTGATAATTGATTTATTTGTCTTTTTAAAAATAAATTGCTGTCACGGAAAGCAAACGATTTATTGGCTTCTCTTCCATACTTCAGGCCCCATAAATCACTCAAGATTAAGATTTGGTGGAATGAATAGTTTTTACGTGGGCAACTGAACATTCACTAGTTTCAAGTAATAAATATTGATAGATCAGAAACATTTTAAAGGTCAAGCTACCTTTACTTGGGTAACTGTAGCAAAATGTCGTTTCTTTATTACATATTTTCCCAAAGTATTTAAATATTAAAATCTACCTGGAAAAAACGTTCCTCATTCAGCTCCTGAGATGCAGCGTTCAGGCCAATTTCGAGTGGAGATAGTTTGTCCTACTGGGGCACCGGTAAGAAAAGACCCGTCCATCTTCCTTGGGATTGGCTGTTGTCGTGGTTACGCTTTGTTTGGAGTCTTTGGGCGCTGTCTTCCAACCAAGCCTAGGGATTTAGCCGCTGGTGGGTGAGCTGGGGCCCCTCATGGCTGGGGTTGGTGGCGCGGGAGGCGAGACAGAGCTATGGGAGCACAGACGGAGCCAGGCCCCTCTCTGCCAAGGCCAGGGCAAACGGTCGGGGGGCCGGCGGGCTGAGGGGGTGGCTGCTGGAGTCTGCGGAGCCCTAGGCTCCTTTCGATTTTGGAGATTTTGTAGCTCACCCAAAACTTAGAGATCCTCCCTTAGGATCTAGGGAGCTTTCGATAATTACCTTTTCTCCTCCCTAAATGATAGTTCCTTTCATCCCTCCCTCCATTCCCCTCTTCCTTTCTTTCCTCTTTTTTTTTTTTTATGATTTATAGTTATCTTTTAAAGTAGATTTCCTTCCCTTTATCTATAATTGAAAAACTACGGTTGAAAGGAGAGTTCCTTAAGATTTCCCACTTTTGGCAGCTTTAGCCAACTCCAAGTGATTTATTATCAACTTGAAGAAGTTTACTGTAGTCCTCTTACGGTGGGATACATCTAGGGCTGCACTGTCCTATCCTGCAACCAAACCACTAGGTGGCTGCTGAAGGCTTGAAATGCAGCTGGTCCAAATTGAAAGGTACTGTAGGTGTAAAATACACATCACATTTTGAAGAATTAGTATAAAAAACAAAAATATAAACTTTTTACATTGATCTTAATAATAAATGATTTTTTATTGACTAAATGTTGAAATAATATTTTGGTTATAATGGGTTAAATAAAATATATTATTAAAACTAATTTCACCTGTTTCTCTTTTTTTAAAAATTGCAACTAGAAAATTTAAAATCACATATGTGCTTGGATATATAGTTGGACAGGGCTGATCTAAAGGGCCAGTTGATGAGCAGAGAGGGACACATAATGGAAATGATTCTTTTATTTTTTAAAGATTTTATTTATTTATTTATTTATTTGAGAGAGAGAGAATGAGAGATAGAAAGCATGAGAGGGAAGAGGGTCAGAGGGAGAAGCAGACTCCCTGCTGAGCAGGAAGCCCGATGCGGGACTCGATCCTAGGACTCCAGGATCATGACCTGAGCTGAAGGCAGTCGCTTAACAAACTGAGCCACCCAGGCACCCAATGGAAATGATTCTTACCTTTACCCTTTTCTCCTGCCTTTCTTTCTACATAAAGTTTAGTGTACCTGTGCATTCTGCTTTATAGCTACATTTTAAAAAAATCTAATTTTCCTACCTCGCAAATCTTTTGAATTGCACTTTAAGTAAGTTTGGTAACAGGATACCATTTTATACTGGTTCTGTTTATGGTTTTGTTTTCCTTTGGAGGAGGAAGATGATGGGTAAAATTGTCTAAACTACAAAAGTAGTACATACTCATGATTTTAAAGATCACTCAACATAAAGGCATGAAATGAAAATTAAAAGTTCCCCAATTTGTCCCCCAAAGTTTCTGTGTTTAAAAATGTATGTGTGTATAGTTACTCTGCATATTTTTCTACCACGTGCCTTTTTTCAATTATTTCTTCGTTGCTACCTTTCCACAGGAGCACAGTAAATATACCCATTTTTAAAAGGACTTGTATAGTATTCCATTCTATGAATCCATCATATTTAACTTTCCTTAGTATTTAGGATTTTTTAATTAAAATTTTTATTGAGATAATTATAGATTAACATGTAGTTTTAAGAAATAATGTGGAAATAGCCCTTGTACACTGTCCAGTATCTCCCAATGGTAACATTTTTATTGGTGCAGTCTGCTAATCTTACTCAGATTTCCTCTGTTTTACTTGTAATCATTTGTGTGTATTAGATACAAGTTTTATCATCTGAATACGCTCACTTACCTACTATTCCAATCAAGATACTGAACAGCTCCAATGCTACAAGAATCTTTCATGTTGCCCTTTTATTACCATAACCGCCATCCACCCCTGACTCCTGGGAATCACTAATCTGTTCTCCACTTATAAAATTTTGTCATTTCAAAAATGTTATATAAATGGAATTATGTGATATGTTACCTTTTGGTTTGGGCTTTTTGCTCAACATAGTTCCCTAGAGATTCATGGAGATTTGTCGGTATTGTGACATGTATCAATATCCATCCCTTTTATTGTTGAGTAGTATTACATGGTATGGATGTAGTAGAATTGGTTTAACCATTCACCTACTGAGGGACATTTTGGTTGTCTCCAGGTTGAGGCTATCATGAATAAAACTTGTGAATATTCATGTAAGTTTTAGTGTGAACATAAAATTTCATTTTTCTGGGATAAATGCCCAAGAGTATAGGCAATACATGGAGATCATCCCAATTAAATCATTTATATGTGAAAGAAATTGCACTGAAATAAAATCATAGTTGATGAGTACAGTATTCTTCAAACTTTTTTCCTTAAACCAAGACCCACAGTAAAACAAACAAATTACACATTACACTGCAGCTCATGCACACATGGATACATATATACCCACTTAAAACTGAAACAAAAGTTTTTAAAACAATTTTTATCTTTAACATATATAGTATACCTATAGTTTATTTTCTGATATACCCTAATTTTTCCTATCCTATTACATCATTAAAACTTTATGATGAAGAGCCACTGAATTAATGTCTTGATCCACTAATGGGTTATCATCTGCAGTTTGAAGACTATTGGGCTAGGGGATATTCAGAAGGATTACTGGGCAGATGAAGAGCTTGACTAAGTTTGGAGACCATTTCATAGTGGGAAAAGCACTGGTTTTGGATTCAGGATCTCTCAGTTAGGGCCCTGTCCCCATTACTTATTAGCATAATGACGGTATGAAGTTAAGTAAACTCTTCAAACCTTGGTTTTCTTATCAATACAATGACTATAATGACCTTATACCTGTTAATTTGCTCTGATGATTATCAATCACACAAAGTGTCTTCTAGTGCCTGGCTTGTCACAAATACTCAATACTTGGAAGCTAATGGTGGTGGATGATGATGATTACATGAAGATATACTGTAATATACTGCTTGATCCATATCCATCACAAGCATTAAAGGTTTAAATAATATAAATATTGGTCTTATAAGCCACATATTATCCATTATTACAACATATTGTTGTTAAAAACGTGGCTATCTATAGTAAAATTAACAACTATGAGTTAATGAGTAGAAACTAATCATATGTTGTCCCATATATAGACTTAGGTTGTTCTCTAATGAGTATTGTTTTTTTTTTTCTTATGAGTATTCTAACCTCTGCATATTCAAGCTGTTCAGAGGTATTTCACCCTCAGTTATTCCCATGAGGATGAATTTTACTGTGATGTTTCTTGGTTCAGGAAGCTAAGACAGTCCATTCCATGTGATTTTTCCCTTAGAGAATTAAGAGAGTATTATTAGAGTTGATCATTTTGTAGTTAAACAGAGAAATAATGAATTAATGAAGAGAGAAAACAGTGTTCTTTAATATATAGTGCAACCATAATAAGATATGATGAAAGTATCCTTGATGAAAATATTTATACGGAACATGTTGGTTTGGTATAACACATTAAACAACCCATAGTTTTTACTCATTTTATCCTCTTCAATTTTTTTAAATGGTTCTGTGTTTATTATGAAGGATGATGGAAAATGATGATGATGATACAAAACTCAAAGAAGAAATAGAAGCTGAATTGGATAAAATCAGCATTTCTTCATTAGAAAAAGATGATGTTGATAGTGATTCAAAATCAGACATCCAGAGTGATGACAGTGATACGGTAAGTGTTAAATGCTGGGCTTTTAAGAGCCTTTTAACTGGAGTAAACTTTGTAGGAGAAATATTACTTTTCTCAATTTGCTTTACATTGTTATCTCATTTTTTAACTTTACAATCACTTTTAAACTATGTTTATTGTTAGATATTTAAATATAAAAAGTACATTGAAGATAGAAGTCACTTATAATTTCACATGTATATATGTGCATTTTTTGTAAAATTGGTATTAGACATAGAATTATTTATTTGTATCCTGCTTTTTAAACTTAAATCATGAGCTTTTTAATGTTATTAGACATACATGAAAAGCAAAATTTATGTGAAATCTTTAGACCTATAGAAATAGTTATTTTTTTGAAATCAAATATATTATCTTTTCACTTGTATATTTCCCCCAATGTTTATATGCTTAGAAAATTTATTCACAGATTCATTCTTTTACATTAAAATCCTTAAACTAATGGGAATTTATTTTCAAGTGTGTTATATAATGTAGATCTAAATAGAAATTTTCCATCACATATTTAGTTAATATTAATGTCACTTGATGAATAATCTACCTCTTCTTAATTGATTTGTCTTATCATTTGTATATGTTTAGTTGTTATACATAAAATCTATCCAAGGCTCTCTATTCTTTTCCATTATTCTGTTAATTTTTGCCCTATTGTGGTTTTTTATTATTAAATATCAAACAGGTCAAATTCCTTGTTTTGCTTTTTCAAAATATTCTCCACTAAGCTTTTTCCCAAAAAAAACCTGGTTTGTTAAGTCTCGAAGGATAATTCTACTTTGATTTTTAATTAGGATTGCAATAACCTCTATATTACTTTTAGAAAGTTATAATTTTTATATTATTATGTCTATTATGTCTATCCATAGCTAATTCAAGTGAGGCAAATTTGTGAAATTCTTCATTTGAATATGAAAGGCAACAGAATCATGGATGTACTTCATAATCACCTGAAAATGAAAAGCAAATTTTAATCAAATATACTTGTTTGAACTGATTTACACATTTTACTCAAAGTTTTAGTGTATGAAAACTTTCATCAAATTTTTGATACATAGTTTTAATAAACAATTTAACAGTTTCTTTCATTTTGTAAAAAAATTTTAGGATTTGAATGAGTTACCTGAGTCAGTTCTTCATTATATTAACATCATAAAGAATAAGAGCAAAACTGTTGAAGAGCTCCTTCTTCAGGACTCGGAAGATACTGATGTTTTAAGTAAGTAGTTTTTTTTTTTGAAGTACAGTTTTTATCTGTTTGACAGATAAGTTTTCTGTAGGCATGAATAATTTATAATTTAGAAAAATATATAGCTTGAAGTTCTTAGCTGTTGTTATATACATGTATATGCCTTTCTCTCTTCTATAATATCTATAATATGCTGGATTTAGTCCATTAATTTTTTTCCTTACTACTTTCTGTATATGTCCAATAGATACTAGCCACCAACAGTTTGTTTTACCAGTCCTAATTAAAACCAGACACTCTATTACAGTTGATTCTTGAACAACACAGGTTTGAACTACATGGGTCATTTATGTGCAGATTTTTTACAGTACAGTACTGTAAATGGATTTTCTCTTCCTTATGATGTTCTTAATAATGTTTTCATTTGTCTTTATTGTATGAATACAGTATATAATACATATAATATATAAAATATGCCTTAATAGACTGTTTATGTCATTGGTAAATGTTCTGGTCTGTAGTAGGCTATTAGTAAGTGTGTTTTGGGAGATCAAAAGTTATATGCGGATTTTTGACTGCCTGGGGGGTTGTCACTCATAACCCCTATGTTGTTCAAGGGTCATCTTTGCATTAAAAAAAAAGAAAATTAGTCACAGGAATATTTTAGAAGTATCAGTTTATACATTTTTTTGGAGAAAAACATAATTTACATCGGAAATCTAACAATTTTTATTTGCTTCAACTGAGCAAATTTACTTCTTGGAATTATTCCAAGAATAATAGAATGATCAAAGATTTAATTAGAACTAATCATGGCTTGGTTTATAATGAAAAATGGCAACAGCCTAAATGTTCAATAGGTCTCAGTGTAACCAACAACACCCACTAAAAGAGATGGTTTAGATAATATTTAATGGTATAAAAATGTTCATGATATAGTATTTAAAGTTATTATAAAATTCAGTTTTATTTATGCAAATATTAGTATAAATTACAATGTGGATATTCATAGATATTCATTCAACAAATATTATTGTGTGAAAGGATCTGTTTCAGCCACTGAAAACATAACAGAGAACAAAATAGGCAAAGGTCTTGCTTTCCTATTCTAATGCTCCAGTGTGAGGAGACAGACTTGAAACAAATAAATATGTAATATTTTAATAATGATAATTTCCATGGAGGAAACAATTTAAGATAGGGGATAGAGATTGAAGGTTGCTTTTTTAGATAGAATAAGTAATGGAAGGCCTCTCTGAGGAGGTGATATCTGAGCAATGACTGAGAAGGAAAGCCACATGGATATCTCAGTGAATGAGAAGGGGAGCCACATGGGTATCTAGAGAGACAGTGTTCCAGAAAGAAGCCTCTGTAAAGGCAAAGGCACAGATCATATGGGGGTCAGATCATATAGGGCTCTTATAAATCATGGTCTGGGCTTTGGATTCTACTCTGTGTGTGTGAAGGTTTTTGAGTAAGGAGTGACAATATCTGACACATTTTTGAGGCAATCATTCTGGTGATTGTGTAGAAAAGATAACCTGAGGTAGCAAAAGTCAACTACAAGACTATTGCAATAGGATGGTTTAGAGGGGTTCCTTGGTGGCTCAGTCAGTTAAGTATCTGCCTTTGGCTCAGGTCTTGATCCCAGGGTCCTGGGATCGAGTCCCACATTGGGCTCCTTGCTCAGCAGGGAACCTGCTTCTCCCTTTGCCTGCTGCTCCCCCTGCTTGTGCTCTCTCTCTCTCTCTGATAAATAAAATCTTTTAAAAAAATAGTATGGTTAGAGATGAGAGTGATTGGAGTAGAAATGATAAAAAATCATCATAATCTAGAAGCTATTTTTAAGTTAAAAAGAACCAAAAGTATTTGTTGATGGATTGGAATGACAGGAGGAGAGGAAATTGACTCCAAGATTTTTGTCCTTGAGCACCTGTGTGAATGGATATGTAAAGACTTACTTTATGTAGATGCTTCAAATTTTGGCAGTGATTATCCGTAGTTGAGTTATAGGGAATATTAATGATTTGCTTATGTATATTTACTAAAGTTTATACAATGAAAATATTTTATAAATATATTGGCAATTATATAGCCTAATTAAGAAAAAAATAAAAGGAAACACAATTATAGAAAATTAGTTACATGAAAGGTTATATAATGTAATTATAGCAGTGGTTTAGAAAATTATGAGATCTCATGTATAGTTCTGATCAAATAAGTATGATAGTCTCAATGAATAAAATATTTTTCCAAGAAAATTCAAATGATCAAAATTGCTTGAAAAAAGTGGAAAACATGATTAAATCAATAATCTGGCAAGAAAGTGGAAAAAGTTTCCTTCTCGAATGTCATTAGAAATTAGTATGATTAAAAAAAAGGAAAAAAAGAAATGAGTATGATTTTACAGTTGAATTCTTACAATCCATCAAGGATAAACAAATCTGCAGATTATATAATATTTCATTTATAAAAAGCTGCATATTTCAAATATAAAGCATAACACACACACATACACATACACACACACACATACACACAAGAAACCAGGGGCTGATTTCACTTATGAATATAGATATATTAATTAGGGCTCTCAGTTGTAGACAGAAGCTACTTGAGCTGCTTTAAGCAGAAAGGTTTTGGGGGTGTTTGTGTCTTTGTTTTATGGGTAGAGGTTAGACATTTTGGTTATTTAGTGCTGCAAAACAAACTGAGTGGTTTAAAATAAAAATAGTTATTATCTCTAATGGTTCTGTGGGTTGACTGAGCTTAGCAAGGCAATTCTTGCTTGCTGTGTATGCATTCACAGTTAGATGTTGAACAGGGACACAGTCATCTGAAGTTTTTAGTGGATTGGAATTCCAAATATGGTTCACTGAAATGCTTGTTGTTTGATGCTAATTGTTGGGTGGGAGTTCAACTGGGGCACCTGGATGGTCAGCTGGAGGCACCTACGTGTGGTATCACCCTATGGCTTGCATGGCACCTGGATTCTGAGGAGTTCCATGAATAAAATCCCAGTAGACTAATGTGGAACCTTGTAAGGCTTCTTATGATCTAGTTTCATATGGGGTCAGCCCAGGTTCCCTGTGGGAAGGAACTAAACAGTGAATGCATATCAGGAAGTGTGGAAGAGACATCTTTGAAGACTAGCTATTCCAATGAATAACAGGATTGTTAATAGAACTGAAGAAATACACTCTAGTCCGAACATCCAAATTGTAAAAAATATACACACACACATACATTGTTAAACTGTGTTGCAGAAAGAGCTGCTGTCTGATATAATTAAGATATTTGGAGACATTAATCTTCTACTACACACTCCTATCTCCAACCCAAAGCTCCCTCTATCATAATTTGGGCCAGAAAAATGAAAGTATTGCTCCCTGTCTCTTTTCACACATAATATTTTTATGGAAATAAAGACTTATGCAAATATATCAATTGGCTGAACCTTAATCACCCTCAGAAACCTAGCTTCAAAGGAATCTGGAGAATGTTATTTTTGCTTTGTCAGCCCCTCACATGGGAAAGCAGGCTCCTGAGACTGTGAATAGGTGTCGAAGAAGAAAATCTGTAATGTCTGACAAAATAGGTGTGAGTAGTTAGTTAACCAGCAAAACAGTCATCTGAGAATAATAGTTTACTGTTAATGAAGATTAACAAGATAGAACATATTAGCTGAAAAAGGAAAAAATTAATTACATCTGCACAGATGATAAAAGGACAATAAAATTCAATAAAAATTCATAAACCAGAAATGAAAGCTCACTTCATTCACATTAGTAATTATAATCTTTTAAACTAATACTTTTATTAAAGTGTGTTTAGTATCTTGTGCAAGGTTATATTGCTAGTTTGTGGCAGTAGAATTGAACCTTTATTGATTTCTAATCAAGGTGTCACTGCAGTATCAAACAGCATTATACTGTGTGTGTGGAAAATAAACTTTAGTCTAGAATATGAAAGGTGATCAAGAGAGTGCTTTATAAATTTGTTACTTTTATTTTTAGAACAAAGATTATAGATTTCCTCTGTTCTTTATTTTTCATTATTTTCCTATTGTTTTGAGTCACTGATCAAGAATATACTATGATAGAATTTGAGATTAAAGGATAATGAAAGGGTTTGAGATTTTAACATGCTTTGCCCTGCTCTAATATTTAAAGCTATAATATTTTTTCTTTCTCTAGACTATAGTTATGGAGTGGTTCCTAATAATCACATGCATTTAAGGATAGAATTATCAACTGAACATAAAGAAAATCCGGGACAGTTAATAAAGGTATATGATCAATATTTGACTGAAAGTACTCAATATTACAGTTAGAAATTTACCTTTCCCTCTTATGAAGGATGATAGTTCCCTGATTTATTAAAGTTCAGTGATAAGGGCACCTGGGTGGCACAATCCATTAACTCTTGGTGACTCTTGGGTTTGGCCTAGGTCATGATCTTGGAGTTGTGGGATCCACCCCCATGTCAGTAAAAGATTCTTTCTCCCTCTCCTTCTGCCCATCTCCACAGCTTGTGCACTCTCTCTCTCAAATAAATATTTAAAAAAAAGTAAAGTCCACCTATTAAAACTTAAAAATTTAATTATTTTTAATCAAATCATTTTTGGCTTTATTTTTTCCTCTGGCATGTAATATACAAAAATTCAAATTTCAATTTTAAAAATATTAGAAATAGTGATGTGAATCATCAGTAATTGGGAATTTAAAATGCATGTAGATGAAACAGTAAAACTATACTGTTTGATAGTTTTTCCCTAAAAACTCCAAGGAAAACAATAAATACAATGTTTATTACCCTGCTTAGGAACGTACTGTGTTCCAGCAGAGACTTTCAATATCCCTTGGAGGGATGCCTGGGTGGTTCAGTCCATTAAGTGTCTGCCTTCGGCTCAGGTTATGATCCCAGGGCCCTGGATTGAGTCCCACGTCGGGCTCCCTGCTCAGTGGGAAGCCTGCTTCTCCCTCTCCCTCTGCTCCTCTCCCTGCTTGTGCTCTCTCTCTGGCAAAAAATAAATAAAATCTTAAAAAAAAATCAATAAATATCCCATGGAAATTTTAAATGTAGAACATCTTATGTTAGTTTAAAAAAAAGATAAAATATAAAAATTCCTAAAGAAATAAGAGTAAGGGAGAGCCTAGCAATTTTGGTTAAAACCTCCAGAAAGAAATAATGCAACATATTTTAAGAAAAAAGAAAAAGAAGAAGATAGCAGGAGAGGAAGAATGAAGGGGAGTAAGTCAGAGGGGGAGACGAACCAGGAGAGATGATGGACTCTGAAAAACAAACTGAGGTTTCTAGAGGGGAGGAGGGTTGGGGGATGGGTTAGCCTGGTGATGGGTATTAAAGAGGGCACATTCTGCATGGAGCACTGGGTGTTATGAACAAACAATGAATCATGGAACACTACACCAAAACAAATGATGTAATATATGGTGATTAACATAACAATAAAAAATTAAAAAAAAAACCCTCCAGAAATATATTTGAGAAATTTCTTCTACAGGTTCAGCATCTTGGACTCATTTTACTTCTTATTTTACCTAGCTATCTCTAATTTTACCTAACTCTACTCTGCTCCCTAAGATGTTTAACATAATTTGAAAATTGCTTATATGTATGTCTTACTCTCTTTTTTGGTAACAAACTTGAAATATTAATTTTGAATTATTATACTGCTACTTCATTGAAATAGATATCCTATATCTTTCCAACTAGAATATGGTAGAAATCTAATTATGGAAAAGTATTCATCAACATATGATTTTTGCATAATTCAGGTTAAAGTGGAGAATAGTTCCATTTTTCTAAACATGCTAAATGTATTAGCTGTTTGTAGATGTGAGCATCACTGTAGTTAAGAAATATAGAAATGTATTAGGAAGAAAGCAAACATTAGTAGAAACACTTTGAAATGATTTTCAAGCAATATTCTTTGCTTTCACTTGAGTATAGTTGACATACAATGTTACATTAGCTTCAGGTATACTGCATAGTAATAAAACCTCTCTACACATTATGCTATGCTCACCCCAGGGTAGCTAACATCTGTCACCATACAAAGCTATTACAATATCATTGACACTCTTCCTAATGCTGTACCTTTTATTCCCATGACTTATTCATTCCACAGATTTTCAAGCAGTTTATTTGAATATTGTGGGTAAATATAAGAAAGTGATTAGAATTCTGAAAAACAAGGAGGGTAAAATACAGTCTGCTTGGATGGGAATAAGATTTTTAGTGTGCTGTAGGGTTGTATTTGAGAGAGACTGAAAGTTAATGAAGTTCTAGGTATGTGTTTATAAACCTTGGTATATTATTAAAATTATTGCTTTACTCTTTCTTTAATTATTGGTACTCTTTTAACCTTTTAGATGTTATCTGAAATAGAAAAAGAAGAATTTCTGAGGATTAAAACCCATTGTGGCAGTCCTGATTCTATTCTAAAGCCTGGTCCTCATGATTTGCCTGTGGATGAACATGTTTTTCCAGGTGCACTAAACTGCTCAAGAATATTTTTGATAATTTTTATGTGATTGACCATAGTTCTCTGAAAAAAACTTAGAGAGTTTTCTTTTGACATTTAGAAAAATACAATCATGATATTTGAAAATTATTATGCCCTTACTGTACTTACTTAAATTCATATTTTCATAGTTTTTTATGCCTCCTAAATTAACTTGATTTAAATACATTTAAATTTTTCCATATATATCTGACTGAAATAGATATACCCAGCCTTGGATTTTTTTTTTTTAGATTTATTTTTTTAACTTTTTATTTATTTATTCATGAGAGACAGAGAGAGAGAGAGAGAGAGAGAGGCAGAGGGAGAAGCAGGCTCCCAAGGAGCAGGGAGCCTGATGCGGGACTTGATCCCAGGACCCTGGGATCATGACCTGAGCTGAAGGCAGACGCTTAACCATCTGAGCCACCCCAGGTGCCCTAGATTTATTTATTTTAGAGAGAGAGAGAATGAGCAGGGGGAGAGGGAGAGGGAGAGAAGCACACACCCTTCTGAGTGGGGAGCCTGACACAGGGCTTGATCCTAGGACCGTGAGGCCATGACGAGCCAAAATCAAGAGTCAGAAGCTTAACTCATGGATTGGAAGAACAAATATTGTGAAAATGTCTATGCTACCTAGAGCAATCTATACATTCAATGCAATCCCTATCAAAATACCATCAACTTTTTTCAAAGAAATGGAATAAATAATCCTAAAATTTGTATGGAACCAGAAAAGACCCTGAGTAGCCAGAGGAATGTTGAAAAAGAAAACCAAAGCTGGTGGCATCACAATTCCGGACTTCAAGCTCTATTACAAAGCTGTAATCATCAAGACAGTATGGTACTGGCACAAAAACAGACACATAGATCAATGGAACAGAATAGAGAACTTAGAAATGGACCCTCAACTCTATGGTCAACTCATCTTCAACAAAGCAGGAAAGAATATCCAGTGGAAAAAAGACAGTCTCTTCAACAAATGGTGTTGGGAAAATTGGACAGCCACATGCACAAGAATGAAACTGGACCATTTCCTTACACTATACACAAAAATAGACTCAAAATGGATGAAAGAACTAAATGTGAGACAGGAATCCACCAAAATCCTTGAGGAGAACACAGGCAGCAACGTCTTCGACCTCAGCTGTAGCAACTTCTTACTAGACATGTCTCCAAAGGCAAGGGAAGCAAGGGCAAAAATGAACTATTGGGACTTCATCAAGATAAAAAGCTTTTGTACAGCAAAGGAAACAGTCTACAAAACCAAAAGACAACTGACAGAATGGGAGAAGATATTTGCAAATGACATATCAGATAAAGGGTTAGTATCCAAAATCTACAAAGAACTTATCAAACTCAACACCCAAAGAACAAATAATCCAAACAAGAAATGGGCAGAAGAAATGAACAAACATTTCTGCAAAGAAGATATCCAGGTGGCCAATAAAAACATGAAAGAGTGCTCAACATCACTGGGCATCAGGGAAATACAAATCAAAACCTCAATGAGATACCACCTCACACCAGTCAGAATGGCTAAAATTAACAAGTCAGGAAACGACAAATGTTGGTGAGGATGAGGAGAGAGGGGAACCCTCCTACACTGTTGGTGGGAATGCAAGTTGGTGCAGCCACTCTGGAAAACAGTATGGAGGTTCCTCAAAAAGTTGAAAATTGAGCTACCCTACGACCCAGCAAATGTAGTGATCCAAAGGGGCATGTGCACCCAATGTTTATAGTAGCAATGTCCACAATAGCCAAACTATGGAAAGAGCCCAGATGTCCACCGACAGATGAATGGATAAAGAAGATGTGGTGTTGGGGCGCCTGGGTGGCTCAGTCGTTAAGCGTCTGCCTTCGGCTCAGGTCATGATCCCAGGGTCCTGGGATCGAGCCCTGCATCGGCTCCCTGCTCTGCGGGGAGTCTGCTTCTCCCTCTCCCGCTCCCCCTGCTTGTGTTCCCTCTCTTGCTGTGTCTCTCTCTGTCAAATAAATAAAATCTTAAAAAAAAAAAGAAGATGTGGTGTGTACACACACACACACACACACACACACACACACACACACACACAATGGAATATTACTCAGCCATCAAAAAATGAAATCTTACCATTTGCAACAATGTGGATGGAACTAGAGGGTATATGCTAAGCTAAATAAGTCAATCAAAGACAATTATCATATGATCTCACTGGTATCTGGAATTTGAGAAACAAGGCAGAGGATCATAGGGGAAGAAAGGAAAAAATGAAAGAAGAAGAAACCAGAGAGGGAGACAAACCATAAGAAACTCTCAATCTCAGGAAACAAACTGAGGATTGCTGGAGTGGAGCAGGGTGGGAAGGATGGGGTGGCTGGGTGATGGGCACTGGGGAGGGTATGTGTTGTGGTGAGCGCTGTGTATTGTGTAAGGCTGATGAATCACAGACCTGTACCCCTGAAACAAATAACACATTATATGTTAATAATAGATTGATCATGTTGATAATAGATTGATCTAAAATAATAAAAAATTAAAAAATAAAAAAGCTAACCGACTGAACCACCCAGGCGCCCCCAGCCTTGAATTTTTAAGTATCCTTTAACTATGTTCCTTTAATAGCACACGCACACACACACACACACACACACACACACACACACACATACACGTACACACTTTTATATTAAGTTTTGTGGTATAGTTAAGGTAAGTTATGTGATTTCTTTATTGACTGAAGTGGAACTTCCTTGTATATGACTGCAATAGGATTTTTATGTATATTCAAGACTGTATTTTTTTGGCATATTATCACTTTTACTTTGGTAATACATTGACCTTATTTCTTCATTTCAAAATTACTTTCATACTCTACATTAGGTCAGTTTTGAGAGGCTTGCTTTTAAGAATAATAATATTTCTTTTCATGAATACAGATGATGCGGATATAAATTTTGGATACTGTGAAGTGGAAGAAAGATGTAGGCAGTCTTTTGAGGCTTGGCAAGACAAACAGAAAGAACTGGAAGACCAGAAGAAAGAAACCCTCAAAGCTCAAAGGGATAAAGAAGAAAAGCAATTTCAAGAAGAAGAAGAAAAGAGACATTGCTGGATGAAACAATTTGAAGTTGAAAAGAATAAATTAGAGAATATTCAGAAGGTAAATGTTTTTTTTTAATTTTTGTTTTTCATACATTTTTTCTTTATTTTATAAATTTTTAAATTTAAATCCAATTTAATTAACATACACTGTATTATTAGTTTCGGAGATAGAATTTAGTGCTTCATCAGTTGCATATAACACCTAGTGCTCATTACTTCAAGTGCCCTCCTTAATTCCCATCACCCAATTACCTCATCCCACAACCTTCCCTCCAGGAACCCTCAGTGTGTTTCCTATAGTTAAGAGTCTCTTATGGTTTTCCTCCCTCTCTGTTTTCATTTTATTTTATTTTTCCTTCCTTTCCCTTATGTTCATCTGTTTTGTTTCTTAAATTCCATATATGAGTGAAATCATATAGTATTTGTCTTTCTCTGACTGACTTATTTCTCTTAGTATAATACTCTCTAGTTCCATCCATGTTGTTGCAAATGGCAAGATTTCATTCTTTTTGAAGGTTGAGTAATATTTCATTATATATATGTGTGTGTAGATATATATATATCATCTTCTTTATCCATTCATCAGTCAATGGATATCTGGGCTCTTTTTATACATTTTTTGAATCAGTAACTACTTCTGAATAGTACTGATGTTTTAGCTTATGGTGTGGACTGAGCTCTGTTCTATGGGATGTAAGTACTCCTAATAATTGAGCCAATTGTCTGTGGTAACAATATTTACTATGGCTTTCTTGATTAGTTTTCATTAAATTTATTGGATTTAAAAATTTATATAAATTTATTTGACTATATACATTAATTTAATTTAATTTACTTACAAATTTATTAAAATTCACTGAAATTTCAGATGCTGCTTTGGATCTTGTGGGCCCCTAGGGTCAATGAAGTTACAAAGATTTTCCTAGGTTGATATTTACAACATAGGTCGATATTCACAACATAAACGTTGCTTTTTCATACCCTTCTAGTCATACAAGAAGGCAACATAATTTTCTTGATCATGAAATATCCTTGCTATGTGGTCTAATGTATAGCAATTACATAAAACATATTTGGTTATAGCAGTTCACCCATGTAGGTAATGGTCTGTGTCTTGCTCCCATGATTAAGCTAATTCCTGAGACTAGAAATTTTTTGTGTTGTTTTTGTTTCTGTTTCCTCCTAACCCTACCCCAGGAGGTCCATTCCTTTAGGTCATGGTAGTGGCATATTGAGAAACTGGTGGATTTTTGGTACCCTACTTTCTGGCCATCAGGATCAGTAGGATGTGTAGATAACAAGCAGGATGGACTTCTCTGTCTTACATTACTAAAATTGACCTACATATTACCCACACTTACTAGTTTTGAGAGTTGCATATAGAGAACATTGACATGTGGTCACTTAGGCAGTTCAGTGTATTCTACCCTTCCATGTTGAGTACATTGCATTTCCTGATTGTATATGAAATAAATTAATTAAAAGCAATTATACTGTAGACCCAGTTTGGCTGTGGCTTTTTCTAGTAGTGTGGATCCTTAGCTTTCCTTTCGTTATATTTTCCTTTCCATAGACCAGATTAATTGGTCATTTCCAAAAGTCAGAAGCTTTATTCCAGGATAGGCTTTAATATAATTTAGATTTTTGGAGTAGTGTTTGTTGTCTTATGCTGAAATGCATCATGGCTATTGATTGTTAGTGGTGTTTAGAGATTTAGAAAACATCTGACTTTTAAAGATTTTATTTTTTTACTTGACAGAGAGAGACACTGTGAGAGAGGGAACACAAGCAGGGGGAGTGGGAGAGGAAGAAGCAGGCTTTCCGCAGAGCAGGGAGCCTGGTGCGGGGCTTGATCCCAGGACCCTGGGATCATGACCGGAGCTGAAGGCAGACGCTTAATGACAGCCACCCAGGCGCCCCGAAAACATCTGACTTTTAAATTCTGT